CCTATCAAACTCACTAAGTTGACGAAATCGTACAGGTCTCCGTACTCTAGGCATCGTAACCGATCGTAAAGGATGTCAAGAACCAAAATCCGCCAACGTTGATTCTTTACTGCGGCTGAAATATTCATTCTTAGAGCGTTAGTGAATTAAAAAAAAGCAGTATAAAAACCGGAATGTCCAACTGATAAGGCTGAAAATTTTTTCACTTGTTATTTACAGTAAGATAAATACACTCACCAACTTTTATTAAAATAAAACCATTTAAACTGGGTGTTCGGATTTATATGTCACTTAGTATACTTTGAAATACCTAGTTGCCTGGCGTTAATATAAAACTAACGAATATGACAGCTAGTTAGGACTAGTACATTTTAAAGGTAAGAAGGTACAAATATTTATTGGTTATTCTCCTTCTGTTAAAACTATTCCACAATATCATACCCATTAACCGGGTAGTCAAGGGGGATAGCTAGATATACTCAAGATTACCTTATTACTCAATCGTTTTCAAATACTTCGACAAATGAAGATCAGTTGTCAAAATGTGAATGAAATTTGCAGAATTCAGCTCATTATTTACCTAGGTGTTCAATCATTGTTTAGCTATGGGGGCAAAGATACTTCTCATTGGATAATTACGATCAATAATAGTTATTCCTCAGGTTAGTAGTGGAAACAATGTGTAGAAGTAATGGCGCTTCACATTTGGAAAGCTAGTTTCTATCGACAAACGACAATGTTTTCATAACTTGTATCGTATCACCATCAATCTGCGTTTATGGTGACATAAGCCACACGAATGACACCACAAATACGTGGGTCCAAATGAAAATTTCTCATAAACATCGGTTGAGTGCACACTTCCTTATTACAAGAATACTCCAAATTAATTTCGATATTGCTCACACATACCTCGGAAATCGCTAAAATCTTCCCAACCATTAAATATTCCCGCAGCACCGCTTTATTTGAATTGAGAGCTTTAGAAAACAATCCTTGGCGAAATTTATTTCCGCTCGGGACCAGCTTTATGCCAGTCCCGGTCGGAACGAAATAAATTGTTTTTTTAATGGCCGCCACCCATGCTTTTTAATGCAATTAACGGTATTCGGTCTTCGTTAATGAGGTCCCTTTACACCAATGGCTCGCTGCAAATTTCAGCCATCGTCAGTTAAAAACATTAAAAGCATGCTAACAAACTGTTGGCATTTTATATAGTTTTCAGTCCAAAAACTAAACAATTTTTTAAATAACAAACTATTGGTATTTTATATCGATTTCAGCCAAAAAACGAAAAATGGTTTTTAAAAACAAATATGCAAACTTTTGTTGAAAGAAAAGGAAATTGAAGTTTGGTCATTAGTCATTGTCTTACAAACCTTGGAGTAATTTTTGATGAAAGCCTAAGATTGCGTGAGCACATTAGTCAAATTTATAGAAACTGTTAGATATCATTAAGGCGTAGGTATACAGGGTGTTCCATAATTATTGCGGCAAAATGATAGGGTTTGTAGAGGGCATCAAAATGAACAATTTTGCCTTATAAACCCCTGTTCGGAAATATGCCGTTTTGGCTGCAGCAAAAAAAAAAGATCAGTTTCTTGAAACAGCTTACCTACAGTACTTGCTCAAAGTGTCCTCCACCTTGCTCAATACACAGCTGTGCGCGATTGTTCAATGATCGGCGAAGTCTGTGGCATACCCCCCGTATGTCCTGAACATGTGCGGACGCGGCCATCACTCTTCCCAGTAGCTCTTGTTGGTTGGGAAAAGGAGTTTCGTACACTAAAGCTTTCAGATGGCCCCAGAGAAAATAATCCAGTGGGGTCAAGTCTGCGCAGGCCAAGGCACAGGGCTACCTCGGCCTATCCACCTATTTGGAAATTTGTATGCGGATTGGCCTCTACATGATGCAGAATCGCTTCCTCAAATTCTACTGTGCGCCTCGTGAAGGGCCGCCCTGCTCCCGCGAGGTGTCTGATGCTGCCACTGACACGAAGACGTCCATGAATCCTTGCAAAAATGGCGTGATGCGGATGAGGACGTTCTGGAAACCGTTGGGCGTAGATTCGCGAGGCTCGTCTTCCGTTACCACCAGCTTCTCCGTAAATTAAATGCACATCCGCAAGTTCCGCATACGAATAACGCTGCATTTTAACACTAAGGTACTGTTATTTACTATCTAGTTTGACGCACCACTCAGATAAATTAAATGAATCGGTGTGGAGAATTTACGATAACAAAAATGTAAACACAGCAGGCTTTTTTTTACAAACCGGCGAGATCATGAAATATGCTAGACGAACATTTTGCAGCTGGTGAATTTTTTGTTTCTCCTATGAGCTCTTAAGGTAAAATTAGCGGTAGTGCTCAAACGGCATATTTACGAACAGGGGTTTATAAGGCAAAATTGCATATTTTTATGCCCTCTACAACCCCTATCATTTTGTCGCAATAATTATGGAACACCCTGTATATGCAAACAAAGACATTATGACTAAATCTATTAATAAGTAATAGTTAAAAAAAAAAAAACTAAAAGGACACGCTTTTATAGCAAACCGACTAAGAAGTAGAAAATAATTTTCAATTACAGAGGGTTTTGTATTACAGTAGTAGATGATTGAAATCAATAATAATTAATGCCATCAAAATAAAATTATAGTAAAATTTAAGTTATTAACAGGATAATTCAATTCAGAGTAAAAAGCGTGGGGTGCTTGATATAATAAATGTTACAATCATTTTATTGGTAACTATCTATGAGAGGAGGCTTACGAAAATGTAGTAAACTGCACTCCACGCATTTTACTCTGAATTGAATTATTCTGTTAATAACTCAAATTTTATTATAATTTTATTTTGAGGTCATTAATTATGATTGATTGTTCGACCATCTACTACTGTAATATAAGCTCTTTGTAATTAAAAATTATTTTCTAACTTTTAGTTCAGATAGCTATAAAAGCGTGTTTTTTAAACTATTATTTATCTTTCATTGTTTAGTTCGATTTTTCAATTAGTTTTTTGTGGACATGTCTTACGAATCGTTTCGTAATCGAATCATTTCATTTAAGATCACTGTTGCATGGGATTTTTCCTGTGAGCTTGTAGCAATCAAATTCTTCAATCCGAATACCGTCTCAAGATCTTACCGGACTAAGTACTACATAAGCTAGTCGAGCAGCAAACTGTCGCGAGACTAGATATATGACTGGACGACTGTACAACCTTGCGTCTTGTGGACGGTCGAAGCCCAGCTCAGGATTAATGGAAACATTTGCAATGAACAATGTGAGAATGCACTACCTTGAAAAAGTATTTGCCTCCATTGTGCTGTGCCGAGTGCCCGAACCAACAAAGAGTAAGTCCGAAACTGCAAGCATGCGCAGATCGCACGCTAGCTCTATCTCTCTTACTCGCTTACAGAGGATCTATAACAGAATTTATCAATCCTGGCGGTCGTAATAAGGATAATGGAAAACTATTATCAAATCATTGCACTGTCATCGGTCCTTGATACGTGTGCGAAGTATCAAATTAATCAAACTTTTGGAAATTGGTGAAAATTATTTATTAATAATTCCGTTACATATATACGTACATACACACAGGCGAAGCTAATAAAAGCGTGTTAAAAAAATAAAGGTATACCACAATCTGCATCCTGTGGGGATTGAACTCACGACCCCTGGTTTACAAGACCAGCGCTCTGCCACTGAGCTAGGTTTGCAGTTTCGCTACTTGTAAGGCGGCATTTGAAATCTGTGGCTTTTTATTAACGTATCTGCCTTTTACAGAATTTTATGAACAATGATAATGGAAAACTGTTATCAAATCGTTGCATTGTCGTCGGTCCTTGATACGTGTGCGAAGTTTCAAATTAATCAAACTTCTGGAAATTGGTGAAAATTATTCTCAAAAGTCCGTTTCATACATGCATAGATACATACAGGACAAGCTAATATAAGCGTGTCCAAAGGAAAAACGTTACGCGGAAGTTAGTTCTATCTCACATTTTATATTGTTTATTTTTTCTGTTTAAATCAAAGCACAGTAAAACGACAACAAAAAATTCAATTGAAAAAATTTTACATTTCAAGGAGTATTGATAGTGTGAGCAGGTTAAATGTCACCGGGCCTTTTAGAACTTTACTCAATATTTGAAATTGAAATGTACAAATTAAACGTATACCTCGCTTAGGTATAATTTAATGCAACAGAGTTATCAGATAACGCAGAGTTCCCCAAACTTTTTTGTGTCGTAGACCCCTTTCTATGTTTTTCTGTGTTGGGTAGACCCCCTACTTACCTGATATTGATTTCGTGTAAATTTCTAACTTTAGTTAAGTTTAGTGTTAAAAACTTAAAGTAAAACCATATGTTAATTTATACATTTATTAATAATAAACGTCTTTATTTCCAAATGGACTGATTATATAAAAAAATAGCCAAATACGGGCGAAGTTCAGCTGTAGCTGCTCTTCCACTTAACCCGCTATAAAAAAAGTCCGTACAAAAGGTGAGTGAGACCTACTTCTTCTACACATTACAAATATTAAATGTATATGCATTGCCTACATTAATACATCTACTAAAATTAATCATAAACTTGTATCAATATTTTCCTGAGACATGGTTACTACTGCTGGGATAAGAGATATTTTTTTAATTGAGTTTTGAAACTTGAGATGCTCAGAGTTTTATATTGTACCGGAAGGGTGTTATAAACGGAACAAATTTGGTAGCTGAACGATCGTTCAAATTGGGCTGTTCGGAATATCGGCGGTGTCAGCAACCCTCTGGATCTTATATTGATGTTATTTTAAAAAAATCAATGCGGGCACTTATTCCCAATGCGGGCATTTATTGGTCAGACACCAATAAGCATAAAATAAACTATAAATAAAATAACATAAGCAATAAGTCAATATTTTTAGTGAGAAGGATGAACCTGATGCTTTAATAATAAATTATCAACAATTTTGTAAGGGTTAACCTTAAATCTCCTCGGTTAATGATGTCCAGTCTGTTTCTTTTTTCGTTAGGAGATTGGTAACAGCGCTGAACCCCCTTTCCACTAGGTATGACGATGGAAAGGAAATTAAAAATTTCCTCGCTATATTCCATAATACGGGATAAGTAACGGGTATGTTGTTTTGCAGCCAGAATTGCTGATACCCGTTTTTAAACTGAACCTTAAGTTCTTCGTTTGTACTTAGTTCAGTCAGTTCCTCTTGTATTATGACACTCGTTTCTTCTATGTCACCATATGGATTAATTATCCACGGTGGTATTATCATAGTCAAAATATCCTCAAACCTAGATTCAAAATCTGAATAGAGGGCATTTAAATGTTGAACGTAAGTTGAAACGTCGTCTTCCTGGCAGCTTGTCTGTGACAATTTGGGGAACTGAGAAAATTCGCCCCGTCCAATATTTTGCTTCATTAGTTTAACTCTGGCAAGAAACGCTGATAAGATGGACTTTGTTTTAATCAAATTTAAACTGTCGCCTTGTAATTGCAAATTAACCATATTAAATTTTGTAAACAAATCTGTTAAATAGGCGATGTCTGTTTTCCTTTTCATTAAATCTTCTTTTAAAATTGTATCTTTAGTATCCAGAAATTCTAAAATAGTCTCAAAAAGTGCAAAAAATCTTGACAAACATAAGCCTTTCGACAGCCAGCGTACTTCAGTGTAAAGGAGTAATTGATGAAAGTGTTCGTCATTTTCTTCACACAACTGCGCAAATAACCGCGTATTCAACGCGTTGCTTCGGATTCGGTTTACTGCATCAATGACTAAATGAAGTGATTCATGCAATCTAATACTCAAAATTTTAGCAACTAAATGTTGTCGATGGATGACGCAATGTATTGCTAACACCTCTGACACATTTTGTTTTAAATAGCTTATAAATCCACGATACCGTCAACCATGGCAGGTGCTCCATCTGTAGCTACTGATATTATATTTGATAAAGGAATTGCTTTTTTAATGAAGTAATCCTTCAAAACATGAAATATTGATTCACCTTTAGTGTCGGTTATCAAAGTTCTTGCGAAGAGCAGTTCTTCGTAAGATGTCTTGATTCATAATAAAACGAACATATGCCAATAATAATGCTGCATTATCAGGTAAAGTTGACTCGTCCAGTTGTATAGAGAAATGGGTCGTTTGCAAATAATTACATAAGAAGCTTTCAATATCAGATAATCAACACTGTACTGTCTACATTTCTTTTTAGATTCGGACATGGCATCAGCCATCTGTGGGCAAAATTAAATTATTTAAATAAGACAGAAAATTCAGCAGCTTTATATTAAAGATATTTTTTGATTTTTCCGAAAACATTCCATAATTCGAACATCTTCTTGCAACAATTAGCTCGAATTACGGAGATTGCCCTGTAATTATATTACCGATTGCTAAAACTTTCAAAAAGAAACTATTGAGGAGTACTCGTGTAATTTTGAATGATTGAATATTTAACTACTAATAACTAAAGTCATGATTGGTGTAATTTATCTATCTTTGCTAACTACGAGTACAAAACTCAAATTTAATAAAAAATAATGTACTTACTTTTCTCCAGCACTCTCAAACAAAATAACACTGACTCACTATAGTTTGTGTGATATACTATCTGTTTATATTTTTTAAAATATTTTCTTAGCACTTTCCTTTTCAAGATTCAGGAAACGAATAAACGTATTTGTCCCACATTCGTATTTATAGAGTGACGAATTGAACAAGTCAGTGCAAGGTAGCGAAGCACTGAGACTGCGACTCTCAGGTTTTTACAAGTTCAAAATGTATTGCGACCACAAAGCGAATACCAACATTCTACAACTTACACAATTTTATAAACATATATAATAAATTTTATACCTCATAGGTACTTTTATAAATAATGTATATGTTTTGATATTATAAGATAGTATGATGTAAGTAAATAGGTACTATCAGTGTATGTGTTGAGATCCACTATCGTGGACCCCCATATTCAGTTCATGGACACCCAAATTTTTTTTCGCTGACGCAGACTCCTTGCAGGTTGTCATCGACCCCTAGGGGTCGATATAGACCAGTTTGGGAATCAATGAGATAACGCATTTACTGACCATGCCACACCACAAAACAGCTCTATTTAACAGATCTCTCACATGTAACGCAGCTTATACTAGTTCGGAAAACCTAAATCCACTGTCTCTAAATAGGTTAAAATATTTTTTGAAATATCAACAATTTTAATTTAAAATTTAAATAGCTTACCAAAGTTTTGTCCAGTATTACACTTTTTTTAGTATTTGGATCAATTGGAGGGGTAACTACCTACATGAGCTAAGCTCCGCCCTTTTACTATGTATGCATGAGAAATAAACACGATTATTTTCAATATTATTATTTTCAAAATGTGTGTAAAAATTCAAGCGAGGTGCAAAACATTATTTTTCCATTTTGTTTTAAAGTTTTTTCATTCTAATACAACCGTTAAAGCAGTTAAAAAAATTTCAGCCAACTAATAATTAACCTTCAAGTAATAGTTATCCAACTTGAAACTTAACTTGCGATTGAAAATCCGGGACATAGTAACAACAGAATTGGTAAACAAAGAGACAAACTAAGGCGTATTAAGCAGGATAACGGGATGACCATCAGCCCTATGCCGAATTCCACAGTCAACCGAGATTTATCGCGGGATTATGTCCAGGCAGGCGAACGACGTTTTTTTAGGTTGCGCTCTGCCCTTATCGCCGTTTTCATTTTCATTAAATCGAGTGCGTCCTTTCTCTCTACGTCCGCCATCTTTATTGGCCTATAAATTGGCGGGAGCAGCAGGAATTCCGGAGAGACATCGAGTTAGATGTGGGTCAAGACTTTTGTTGTATATTTGATGTAGAACGTGAGGTGACAGTTGACTACGCTAAAAATGTTCGTTGAAAGCTGACTTTTGTATTTCCCCCGTAAGTGTTATATAATTTTCTTGCATTGCACATTTAAGATGTCTATCAATTCAGTCGATGGGCGTTTACCCGTATACCTTAATTATCTAAGCTTCAATGTAGACAATGCATAAACAGTGTATATGTTAGTATGAAAGTCCGAAATTAGTGAAAGACCGAACGTTCATAAATATCATTGTAGTTTCGGAGAATCACCGGTGTATGTTCACAAATACAAATGGGTCGCGGTGAATGTCGAAAATGACCTGTTGTAACTGGCTTTTTGGCGGTAGCGTGTTGCCTTCGCATCAGTCTTACGCAAAGTTTGAGAGAGGATGCGTGCAAGCTTGCCAAGTTAATTTGATACTGGGCATTATATTATTTGTAACCAATGACTACTGCAGTAAGTCGCAATCAGTCTTTTTTTCTCAAGAATGGTACCCTAAAATCGTGTTTGAACTGAAGCTAAAAGTAAGTGCATTACACCTCTGGACTATAGACGTTTAAAACGTTTTGACAAATTAAAAGTTAGTGATGATGTTAATTGTACCATTAAGACCAGGAGAAACTAATATGCAGTATGTTACAAGTGTTGTTTGATATACTTTCAAAAAGTCATATAAGAACAGGCCATGGGGGTAGAGCATGTATGCTTAAAGAATTACAAGTGAAATACAAAAATATTATGAAGTTGTAATGTTGAATCTAAACTTGTGTAAACAGTGTCAAATGAAACAAAGATCATTTAACAAAGTTTGTCCAGTTACGACCATTGAAAACCAAGAAAGCGGAAGAAGTAGCATAAATATCACCTTCTTAAAATCTCGTGCTCCCGCTATATTACATTCGGATAATGGTAGAGATTTCAGTAATCGAGTCATATCTGAACTATGCACTATGCGGAAAAATGTTAAAATAGAGCACGGAAAGACTCGTCATAGTCAAACTCAAGGCTCAATAGAAAGAGCCAATTAGGACATACAGAATATGTTAGCTGCGAGGATAAATGATAATGATTCAAATAAATGGTCAATTTGCCGATAACACAACTTATCACGAAGGAATACGTCAGACTCCATATGAAGCAACGTTTAGCGTTAAACCAAGCGTCGTGATGTCTCTTTTGCGGAGAAATGAAGAATATTAAAATTGAGGAACAGCTAGGAGTCAATTTACATACGTTTCAAGAAAATTTGGGTCCGCTGGTGACCATATACGAGTAGAAGATCATATTTCAGATGAAAGCGTCATTCTTAACGAAAACTCCATTCGAGCAGATCCGCAACCTAGGATGACGTTATCTGAAACATCGTCTGAATCCCAGTGTAGAGCAGCCGCGAAATATAATCTTTTACTCGTACTTCAAGCAACAAAATGTTACGAAAAATTCCCACCGGCCCAACTAGGTGATACCGTGAGACTTAAGGTACCTTATGTTGACCGTGGTCGCACACACCCCCGAAAAGTGTTAGCGGTGTTTTTTTTTTTATACTCCAACTACCACGAAGGCCTAAGGCCTAAGCACCCATTGGGTACCGTGGGGCTATGGGGGATACATGGGAAAGGGGGGACGCCACACGGACTCTGGCGAGGGAACACGTGTGCATGCAACATCTACGTATACACATTCTGGCTCCGCCTACGAGAACCGCCGGGTGGTACCTCCGCGTTCGACAGTCAGAGACCATCTACCACCTACGGACAATCACAACATCCATGGCCAAGAGAAACATTTCTCCTGGGACGGGACTCGAACCCGCACAGCGCACGGCGGCTGATCAGGAGACCGAAGGGTCTACTACTGCGGCCACCGCTGCTGCCTAAAACAAACACACAACATCCATGGCGAAGGCGAGATTCGAACTCGCGGCCCGGCCGGCCGGCTGATCAGTAGCACGACACTCTGACCCACGCGGCCAACCGAGGTCCCAGGTTGTAGGAATTGAGGATTCAGACTTTTATAAATTAGACTAAACAAAAATGGTCCCTTGAAGCAGCTTTTAACCCGTAATCAGTTTGCAAGTTTAACAAAAATTACTTTCCACGGATGAGATTACGAGTACAAATGAAAAAATATCGCTAAGAGAAGCAGCTCGTGCTAAATTAAAAAGTGGAGGACAATGCTATACACGTTGTAACTGTAAAAGAAAGTGTTCCACGGCTAAATGTAGCTGTAAAGGCAAGGGACTTTTGTGCAATTCGATGTGTCATGGTAGTTTAAGTTGTTGCAATAAATAACATTACGTGATACATATCCTTTTTCCAATCTTCTATATAAAAAAGTCAAATTGTTCATGTACGGCTGTAATCTTGATATTATCTTAATTATCCTTCGTTATTTCAACTGTTTCAAGTAGGATAATAATATTCTTAAGTTGAATAAAACATTTTTCACATATACAGGATATCCGCTAAAAGGAGGTCAATCCGTTAGCCACATACTCTTTGGGTGGAAATAATAGGAATTTTATATTGTCATTGTTCATTGTTTTCAACCAA